GGGCAACCACGAAACAGGTCTGTAGGGATGAACTAGTAGTTTATTTGTCTTTTTCCTCCCACAATATATACATCGCTCTACTCTTATGTATTGAGCACTGTTTTGCGTAAGTCAAAATTTTACTCTTTATATATATATATGTGTGTGTGTGTGTGTGTACATCCATTAAACCAGATCTGTTCAGAAGGCTAACATTTTTTAGCCAAGGATCTTATCCATGTTTAGACTTCTAAATAATTATAACAAATGACGGTATTAATCCCAAAGGTCAACAAACTTTGAAGAAATTGCATAGAAATAGGCTGAGAAACATTGGTATTCGCATTGCTCCATGGCGCACATCTTAATACTGCGAGGCGTATCTCACGAAAATTTCATCAGATGGAGTACACCTGTGAAGACTGATTCAGCATTAGTTTTGAGGCTCGAGGAAAACAAAATTTCACTGGAAGATATTAAGAGCATGTTTCGTACGAGGAAGAGGCTATTCCGTTTTACAATTCTTCAACTTATACTTTTTGGTAGCGCTGAACTTGTACCACCCCGTATCATTTCCGTCGAATATAGGCTCTGCAAAAAATGAGAAGAACGATTTTCTTTGGAAAGTTCTTCGCGCACTTTCTCGTGTCACGTATGAACCTAGGGATAACTGAGCTTATCGTAGAATCTCAGCAGCTCGCGCCCGCCGAGGACGCCTGTCGGCGCGTCTTATTCTTATATACAGTGTTTTGATTCTGGAAAGTGTTATATCCTGTGTTTAATCGCAAAATAAGTAGTTACTGGAAAACACTGAGCCTCAAAATTGAAGGTAGAAATGAAAAAGATTTGAATCCATGTGCCTGAATCCGTGTGCTTGAATCCATTCCATCGAGCGTTCCACGTTTCCAAATTTAACTAAATGATCGTTGCTCAATTAAGATTCGACACACCCTGGATTACTGAGAGGTTTCTTATGAACGCATTCATCATCCTATGATGAGAAACACATTTTTACAGTTGGAATACTTCAATCTGAACTCGCTTGAGTCACCAAAACGTCCGAGGTTTTTAGTATTGAGCGTAATTAGAGCATACGAAAATTGACGATTATCGCGAAAATTAGAAGTGAAAGATGACAATCAAACGATATCTTTAATGAGACGGTTGGTAACTCAGCTGTTGTTCAATTTACAATTCCAATATATCACTGAGCCCTTTGCGAATTATCCTTTCTTCTGAGCGATGTACCGTTTAAAGTTAACGATATACCTCATCAGCTTAGCAATGTAACGTTTTCGCTCTGCGATAGACCACTATACGGCTTAAGCGCTTTCCCCCAAAGAAATGTCACAATAAACTAACTAAATTATATTGAAATAAATCGTTCGTTTTCAGAACTCTTCAATCCTTTCACAACCACTCTAACTGATCTATTTATCTTTTCAGTCAAACTCAATCCAAGCGAGATGTTTGCAGAAGTCTTTCTTTTCTACTTGTTATCTTTGATCCCTCTGTGCATGGCCACCAGTCAGCAACGTGAACCCGCAGAGCAGTCAGAGAGTGGCAAAGCTCTCAAAGGTCACATCTTTAAATCGAAAAGGGTTCAAGATCCGCACGAATGTCTGATGTTCTGCTACAGCGAACTCACATGTCAGAGCTACAATTACGTCATGACTGGTAATTTTTGCGAGCTGAATAACAGAACCAAAGAAGCAAGACCTAGAGATTTTGTCCGAGATGAGACTAGATTTTACATTCGACGGTGGAAGAACAGAGGTACGGACACAATAAAACATAATCTTTATTATCATATAAAAGTTAGTACAAAATGGAACCTTATCTTAACTTGTAAATGTCAAGTTCCTTCCAGTTCCTGGACAATCACAGCCAACTTTCTTGTTAAGTCAAAATTCCTCAACAAAATATCTTTTTAGCCATTCGAATGGCGGTAACCTATTTTTCAACTATTTTTGGAATAGAGAAGTTGTATTGGAGAAGGGACGAGAGACATTTACAAACAGAAAAGTGGGGCTCGTTTGAAGCAATCAAAACAGCCAAGGAACAAGGTAGTTTGCTCGGTTGGTAAATAGAGCGCTAATGGGTCAAGAAGGTAACTGAACAGCGAACAAGGGATGGCGGTCAGCGGTAGATATTGGCTAGAGCCTCAGGAGACAAAAATGAAATCCAAGAACTTTCTGGTTACAAAATTAATATTCTTCACTTATGGATAATTTAAAAAAAATAGATTTGTATCGTAAAAAGTGAGAATGTCTGGAGCTCATTATTTCTTTCTCATGGACAATTCACGGAAAAATAAGTTTGGACCATAAAATGGACGTTTGCATGGAATTCTCAATTCTTTTCCAGGTTTATTGTCACATGGTATCAGTTGATCAGACCTGGACTCTCATCGCTTGGTTTTCAAACAGTGACACTAAAAACTGGATGGATGACTCAGGAGACTGGTGGTATGACTATAATGAAGTTGCAAGAGAAACCGCTGACCCGTCATATAAGGCAGACATGATCTCCCCGGCGTTCTGGCAGGTCAGTGGCAGTGAGCTTAAGATCACGCGTAATGATGATTCTGGAAACACCCCTCTATTGCAAACAACAGGGAACTGTCTGAGCGGGAAGATATTCCGCTGCAAAATTACCAGCTATGGTGACTTCAGAAACGGTTCAGCCTGGTCCGGTGGTAAGTGCTTGGAAAAATGCAATGTTCAATTTGGCGGACGGTACCTAAAAACTAAGATATCGAATTGAACACCAGAAGAGAACTTTCATATTTACAAGCAACCATGTATGTATTATTTTGTTTATCATATAAATGCAATAGCACTTTACTAACAACAAAAGTCGACTGTATTTATGAATGAGAATAAAAGGATCGACACTCCGAATAAACATCGTAAAGTGCGTTGGCGCACTCAAGATGAAAACATGCGTTGAATCGCTACAAAAACAAACAATGGGCCTAATTTTCAATATACAAAATTTTCAGGTATTGAATTGGTCCTTACCGAAAAAAGAAATCTTTCAGGGTACACGGCGAAACTTGGGCCTGTGGCAAATCTTTTAGTTGCTGATTTTTGTTCTCAGCCGCGAGAAATGCCATTACCAAAGCCACTGAAAATGTAACTTTCGGTTTTTCTTTTCGTATTTCGGTTTCCTTCCCCTTCTATGAAAGTTTGAACGTGATACAGATTTTTCTGTGTTTTAGCAGCTAAATCCGAAAAACTTCCGACAAACGACCATGGATTGAGAATGGCGAAAACTTTGCCGTTCATTCCCCAACCTGATCGATTGGCACGGAAGGCGAGTGACGAGCTGATTGGCGATATCAAACGCGCGTGAAAAAATATCGTATTTTTTCACGTGTCATTACGGCTTTTCTCAGGGCTGGAAATCCTTGTATAACACCGTAGTTTATATGATAAAAACCGTTAGCCGTAAATTAGCTAACATAACAACCGTTAGCCGTAAAAGCCTTCACCCCATCAAGACGTTCATTTACGAGTATTCTGGTTGTATAAAGATCCTCCCTTATGATAGCCTGTTGAAAAACCTATACTTGCTTCATGAACTGTTAAAATGCTTACTGATTGCACTACACAGTGTGACTTAACGGCTGAGATTCCTTGTCGACGAGGAGAGCGAGGCCTGGGTAGGCCACACCTGTAAGGCAGCTTAAGAAGATAGCCCAAAAAAGAGTAAAACACGGGCAATTTTTGCATGTATCTTTGGTCCACTGACTATTGAGGGGATAAAACTTAATTTCATGAGCACTTAACATCACAATCAGTGAGGAAGTTGCATTATAATGAATTCGCGAGTATTTATTTTTCGCTACCATGCACTTTAGGTAAGCCCGTTGTGAATAATTTTGTTAGTAATTTTTATAATTAAGTCTTCTATTTGCAATTCGAGTCAATCTTCTTCATCCATAACCGACCTCATCCATTTAGGGTAAAATTTTTCCCGTGTCAATTATTCTATCTTACCAAACTAATGTTTGTTTTGAGGTTTCTCTTACTTTAAAGGTAGTTTTTACATACATTCTCGACTAAAGAATGATGACGCCATCTCCTCAAAAATACTCAGCTTTTGGGACAAAAAAATATTTCCAAACATTTCAATTCAAATGCAAATGCACTTCGAACGTCAATTGCGAATCTCTTCCGAATATCTTGGAATGGTCACCCAGTGAGCATCTGTGACAGCGTAGACGCAATCAGCTGTTCAAACGATCATGTTCCTTGGGTAAGTTTTCGGATCAGGATGCTCAGGTTAGATAACTTTGCTCCAATCTCAGGCTATAGAGAGGGAAAGTTTCTAAAGAAACTGTAGTGCTGCGCAGTGGAGGCCAGAGTATGACAAAATAATTTGGTTTTATCAACTTAGTTGATAATATAAATTGGCCAACGTTAAGAGTTTCAAAGCTGGCGTTTCGAGCGTTAGCCCTTTCTCAGAGCAGAGGGCTAAAGAAGGGCTAACGAAGGGCTAACGCTCGAAACGTCAGCTCTGAAACTCCTTAAGGTGCCCCAATCTAGCCGAGTTATCATAACTCGCGGCTTCGCCGTTGGCACTACAGCGCCAATGACACGCTCTCAGGCTGAATGTGCCATGTTCATGTGCGTGCAAAATAGGAAAAGGAGTCTAAGAATTTAATTAGCGAAAATTTCCCGAGCAAAGTTTTAGCAATTCGTCAAGTCCATCTCAGCGCAGATTTTCATAGGTCTGTCTTGGCTGATGATTTGAAAGGTGTACAATTAATATGTCGAAATTAACTTTCTCGTAGTGTGATTTAAATATTGCTTCAAGACAGAGCCAGGTTACTATGCTATTTATGAACAGTGTAATAAGTATTCGGAGATGAGCTTGACTGCGTTGACGTTCGCTTAATTTTTATTTGAGATCACTGCATTAATTCACGTCATTTCAACACACACACGAAGAAAAGTCTTTCAAGTCTTCGAGTTCACGATAGATTTATTTGAAAATTACTACGTAAATGGTGACAGCATTTGCCTTAAACGTGACGACAATATTCAAGGTTAGTAAATTCTGTGTATGTTTCTCGTAGGCTAATAAAACAAGTTCTTTCACGATCAGTTCAACAGATAATATTTTAGGGCAATATTAGACGGGTTTCAAAACAGTAACTGAACGCTCGGTTGAATGAATAAAGAGCATTATGCTGGCTTCAGGCAGTATTTCGTAACTTTTTGTTGCTTAGACATAAAAAAAATTTTAATGTGATTGTTCGAAAGCCAGTGTTGATTTTCGTGCACCAAGTCAGTCACGCCAGAAGGACTCCATACATTTTTGATTACGGTTTTCAACATGTTCTCATAATCACCCTAATACATAAAAAGCCATTCAACCTTTATGTCTAGAGAAATTGCAGCAGAGTGTGTGGCGTTTGAAAGGACGCCACACAGTTTTTTTTTGCTTATTTAAGTCTGTTTAGATATTTCTGGTCAAGAACCAAAACACTTAAAAAACAACCTCCATATACAAAAGGCAATTATTGATGGATAGTAATTACGTAGTCCATCAGAATCGTTAAATTATCAGATCATGCATTGTCGGGAGCGTAAATAGTCAGTCGTTTGCCACCTGACGTGATTAAGGATCAGTCACGATAGCAATGCCAAAGAAGATGACGATTCAAAAGTGAATTTGTATTTTCAGTCAAAATTTCACGAATGGCTAGACGTGCTTGCCGTCTCTTACAGCGCCACACATCTATACTTCAGAAAAACGGATGTCAGCAACATTAAATTTCAAATTGAAACTGAGTTAATTAACCGTCGGAGTTTCTGTTCTCAGAAATTCAAATTTTGGTGATTTCACTTTGTTGGCAAAGGCACAGAGTTTTCAAGCGCACGTGCTGAGCTATTATCCTGCTCATAAGATCTTTTGTCTTGGCACGTGACTTTTACGAAAAAGCCGAAGAATGTTTGTAACGTCATAGCTTTTATTCAAGGTCATTTGTAAAACATGGACAGCAATCGCCAATTTTGTTTCTTGTCATTTTTGCATTTTACAGATTTTTTTACCCACAGGACTGAAGATACTCAAAACTTTGAATTAAGTCTTAAACTATTCCATTGTTCAATTGGTGTAGTTTTGCTTGCCTTTCCAGCTGAGTGTTTTATGAACGTGTAGCATGAAGATTTTGCAGGAGTTTAAAATTTTGTGGTGATAATCACTACTCAATAAAAAAGGCTACCAAGCAAAAAGTTTTCCCTTTTCCCATGCGGTTTGACGTCAAAATGCCATAAAACAAAAGTGTGGCTCATAAATCGCTGGTGTACGTGTACTATAAGTAAACATTCTTAGACAAAGAAATTGCCCATGTTGACGTCATATTTGCGTCTGTTCTCCCTAAATGATTGGTGGGAACCAATCAAATCCACGTCAAAATAAAAATATTTTTCTTATATTTGTTTCCTCTTCGTCTCCCCCAGGTAGATCAACCCTCAAAGCGCTGACGTTGTGAAAGCCATCTTTGTGGATAATGCGTTTATTAAGTAATTTTTTTTTTGTGAAGCTTTTACACGTATAACGGTTTTTTCTCTGTCCGTCTTCTCGTACTTGTCTTACTTTATTGCTTCCAAAAGAAACTGTGGCTGATTAACATCAGTTAAGTGATGGCGAGCACTGAAATAGAATCATGCTGTGCATTTATTGCATTTACGCGATAATTCTGGTAGTCTGTCTCACGCACTTTTTGCAGACAACCTCGAGAAAAGTTACAGCTTAGCTTCAGGGTAAATTATTAGACGTTTTTGACGCGTAAACTTTTTCTTCTTTCAGGATATTTGATTCGTTTGAAGAGAAGGAAGAAACAGCCACGAAGTAGAACCGAGGGATGTCAAAGAATATCTGAACTGAAAGGTACCTCTCTTTGATTTAAACTTCGGAATTTTGGTGCCTGCAAATGTTCGCAGACTACTCATTACGATCTTAAAAAACTCAGCGGACTGACGCGTACGGTTAGTGCGCCTTGCTCCAAATCGTAGAGAATGGGTTCGAGCCGTGGCCTGTTCATCGCATTCTGTTCCATGTATACCTTCAAAGTGCCTCTCTCCAACCAAGAGTAACAATGAGTACCGGCCAATTGTCAGGTGAAGCTGACAAAATTCTAGGTGTTTACTTGTCAATGTACTTGAGTCCACTCCTACTCGCCTCGTGCTTCTGAGCGTTCTAGGAGACAGTGCGAGGTTATC